TCGAAGAGAAACTGTTTATAAAAGTGAGGAATTCTAAAGGGTAATATTTAAATGCCAAAACGTGCCGCCAAAACTAAGGGGGATGACACAAGTATGCGCAATGATGATGAAAAGGCATAAAACGGATAATAGACGAAAGACGTTTATCAGACATTTTCTGGGGGCAAATGAAGGGGCTGAGCCCCATTATTACACGTGTTATGACATTAAACGAGCACACGTGAAGATGACAAGACAAGACACATGATGAAGAAATCAACCATTCAATTACCCAAGCCGAACTGATTAATGAGTTTGGCAAACAATAAAAGAGTTCGACTCTTATCAAACCGAATTGATCAATGAGCTCAACACTCATTATGACCGAACTATTTGCAACAATATGTGGAAAGATAAAGATTCGCCTATAACTTAGGCATTCGGAGAAACGAATCAACAAAATTTTATATATCAGGAGGAATTGTTGGAGAAATATTCGCAACTTTCCAAACTGAATCGCTAAATTAAAGAAAGGTGTGTCACCTTGAATCAAAATTCACGGAAACCCTAATCAAATAGTGATCTATTAAAAGCAGAAGAAACCAAGGTGAAAGGTACGCTGAATTTTTCTCATCTTTTTGCAATTATCTCAGTTCTGTTATTGACTTAAGTATCGGAGTGCCTTCGATTGAAACACTTCGATCTTGAGTAGTTTGTTTATTTTGCAAGAAGCAAAGACTGAGAGATCAAGTTCAGAGCTCACTCTTATTAAAAACGTTCATTTTTCATTCCTGTGGAGGTGATCTCATTTTTTGCCTCTTACACATATGTCATCTGGAGTAAAGCTAAGAATTTTATTTAGGGTGGGTACTTTAATTATATACTCTAATTTTTTTTCCTCCTAATCAATAAATATATTTATATTTATTATATCATATTTGATACGTGAAGTCTATTTAACATAAAAAGGCCAAAAAATAATGTATATTGTATATGTATAAAAAAAAACTAATTATCACAATTGTAAAAAAGTGAAGATAATTGTCATTTTTATAATTAAAAAATATCAATTATTCACTAAAAATTCATTAAATTTATTCAATAAACAATGTTCTAAATATTATCACTAAAATATTAGTATAGTAAAACTATTAAATTAAAATTTAAGAGGTAAACATAGTAAAAAAAATTAAAATCGATTGATATATAATAAAAACTATAATCAGTACTCGAATAAAAATAAAAGAGAATTTTTTGTAGAAAAAATAAAGTCAAATGAAGATCAATTGAAAGAACTTTTACTTGTAAAAACTCATAGTAAAATGAAGGCCGTCTGAAAAAAGCCTTATTATAATAAGAAAAACTAAATAATTGAAATAAAAAAATTATAGAGTGAGCACAAGTAAAAAATGTGTATAAGTTTTAGAATATATAAATATAAATATACATATCATATTTTTTTTTTAAATTGAGAGCTCTGTCCATGTATGTCATCCTACATATATCTATCTATCTATATCAATATCTATATTTATATGATTCTAATTGGATTTTCATTCTTTTTACATCTCTCTCTATCCTAAAAACACACTCTCATCTCTTATATGACTCTATCTTTTTGTCTATCTCATACTCGTACACATACACATACTCTCTCTCTCTATCCTAAATGTAAAGTAATAGGAGTTGGAGAGTTTGGTTTGAACGGCTATATATATATATATATATATATAATAACAAAATACATCTAATACTCATTAAAACTCTAATCTCTCTCTCTCTCTCTCCACACACACACACACACACACACACACACACATATATATATATATATATATATGATACTCTCATCTCTCATAAGTTTATTACATCTCTCATATAACACACACACTCTCTCTATACACTCACCAACACACACGCTAATATCGACTCTTACCCAAAAAAGAAAGATATTTTTTAGGTATAATAATTAAATATATAAATTGTGTACATATTGATATTTTTTAAGTGTTGTATTTTTAGAGAAGTTTTGTCATTTTTTTAGAAAATAGTGTTTTTAAATTGATTTTGAATTATGTAACTAAAGAAAATAATAAAAGATAAAGTACTATTTGAAAATATTTATATTACAAAACCAATACTCAAGGTTTTTTGAGTTACTTAGTGCCTTTAGGCACGGGTTATTAGTAGTCCTTAATACAATGCCTATAAATCCTGTTATTTAATTCCTTCCAACTATAAATCTTCCTAAATATTAGTTACTGTATTTCATATCTTCCTTCTCATCCCATCAATCATGAGATTTGGCTCCCATATGTTTGTACTAATTATTTCCCGTGCCTAAAGGCATGGAGTAATAAAAAAAATTTATCAACATTAAACATATTAATATTCCCACCTAAAATTAAATCACAAACATAAATGAGAGATAAAAAAATTTAAGTACTAATTGTAATGGGAGTGAGCGGTGCTAGTGGTGGGGGGTGACAGTGGTGATAATGGAAGACGGTGATGGTTGTGGTGGGTGGTAACAACCGTGGTAATGGTGGCAGCCGTGAGTGACAACGGTGGTGGTGGTTGTGGGAAGTAATCGACGACAGTGATATGGTTGGCAATGGCAGTGGTGGGACGACGATGGCAGTGGTGGGTGACGATTAGTGCTTTTAGGTGACAGTGTGATGGGTGGTGACGAATGACAGTGATGGTAAGTGTGGTGGGGGTAGGTGACTGTGGGTGGTTGCAGTGGTGGACGATGACAGGTTGTGGTAATGGGTGACGGTGGGCAACAATAATAGTTGTGGGCGCTGACGGTGGGACGACGGTTATAGTGGGATGATGGTGGTAATGATGGTGGCAATGGACGACGATGATAATAATCAGTGGTAGTATTGATGGTGGTATTGGGGCAGTGACGGTGGTAGTTTGTGATGGTCGTGGGGGTTGTGGTGGTGGTGGTGGGATAGTAGCGGTAATGATAGTGATAATGGTGGAGACAGTGGTGGTAGTTGTGGTGGGCGGTGGAAGAGGTGGTGGTTGTGGTGGCGGTGGCGATGGAGTGGCAGGTGTGGTAGGGTAGCGATAGTGGTGGTGGTGATGGTGGTAGTGTAACAATAGTGGTGGTGGTGGTAGTGTAGCAATAGTGGTGGTGTGGTAGGGTAGCGATAGTGGTGGTGGTAGCGGCAATGGTGATGGTAATGGCGGTGACAGTGGTGATGGTAGTGGTAATGGTGGTGGTGGTAGAGGTAGTGGTGGAACGGTTTCAAATATTTTTTTTTTAAAGTATTTATGAGAAATAATTTCTATAAACACTTTTAAAAAATTATTCTAAACACATCTTTAAGGGTTTATTTTTTCTATTAAATTTAGGGTTTTAATATTAGCCATCAAATTAATTTTAAAGTAAAATTTAAAGAGATCTCAATCGCGAATAGTAAAAGTCATTTTGTTTATCTTTTGAGATTTGTGTTGTATTGTACTTTATTATTATACTAGTTATTACTTGTGTCTGAAGGCACAGAGTAATAAAAAATGGTAAACAATAAATATATTTGTATTTATATCTAAAATCAAATTACAAACATAGAGAAGAGATAAATAAATTTAAATATCGATTTTGTAATGGGAGTGATAGATGGTGGACAATAGTGGTGGTGGTAGAAGACGGTGATAGTTGTGGTGGGTGACAATGACTGTAGTGGTGGTGGCAATGGTAGTGGTGGTGGTGGGGGCGGTGGTGGTTGAGGGGGGCGGTGGTGGTTGTAGTGGTGAAGGCGATGGTGGCGACGACGACGGCGGTTACAGTGGCGGTGGCGGTGGTGGTGGTGGTGGCGGTGGCGATGGTAGAGGTAGTGGTGATGCGGTTTCAAACACTATTTTTTTTTAAAGTACTTATGAGAAATAATTCCTAAAAGTACTTTTAAAAAAGTCACTCCAAACAAATTCTTAGCGCCTTATTTCTCCTATTAAATTTAGGGTGTTAATATTAGTCATTAGATTAACTTTAAAATAAAATTTAAAGAAATTTCAACCGCGAATAGCAAAAATTATTTTGTTTATCTTTTAAAATTTGAATTATAAACTATTTTATTATATAGATATATATATTAGACACAAATTAATGTAATAGCTAAACTTTTGCGAATTTTACATAAAACTTGTTAAAATTTTGACTGAAAAATCATATCAAATCTAAGCTCCCAAATCAGCACATACGAGATGGGACCGAAGTATATAATCTAGAGTTGTATAACGACAAAATGCATGATGTGGACCACCCGTTTGCTCATTAGTAGGAACGCTCTGTCTAATTTGAATTATTATATAGAAGCTGGATTGTTTATATTATGACTAATTAATCTTAGATTGATCAAAAAATAAAATCAAAAATAGAGATAAAAAAGTGACATTATCATAAATAATCATGTCAGTTGTTATAATCTCTATTTTTAATCAATGTAGCATTAATATATGGGCATGTACAATTCTTATTAATGAACGAAAATAGATTTTTTATATTACAGTCAAAAATATTTGAGTCAATTTAAAAATATTTCAATTAATTCTCTCTCCAGTCTGATTAAAATTAAAACATCAGTCCAAATTAAAAAATTCATGAGGAATTTATCGGGTCTCAAACGAGAATGTCTAGATTTATGGTTCGTATCCAATACCGTCGTCAATTATTATTTTTAATTTTTTTTCCAAAATGTTTTTTATTTTTTGGCATGTCCAGCTATAACGGTCAAAAATTAATAACGCCGAATTTCTAACGCCGTCATCCTCAACAAGATCTCTCCTAAAAAATTCAAACGCTCCCGTAACGGCCATATTTTTTGAGTTTCTTTTTCTACTCCAACTAATCTTCTCACTGCCGCTCACTCACTCTCTCTCTCTCTCTCTCTCTCTCTCTCTCTCTCTAAACCTAAAAATCAACAAATCATCTTTGCGCTTCTCTGTCAAGTCAGAGTCTCATTTTATATTCTCTCTCTCTCTGTCTAAAATCGTCACCATTGTCATAGTCGCTAGCATTTGAAGTTCTCAACGGCCGGCCATCGAATTCACTGTATGCTATACGTATAGATTGAATACATATAAATTAGTACATCTTGTGATTTACATTTACTTTTGACTTCGATTTCTTTGTCTCATTGTCGATCCGGTTCTGATTTGTTTCATTGCCTCTGCTCTTTTCCGATTCACCTAAAAAATTTACATTCTCTGTCTACATTTTACATTGTTAATTGTTTTTAGTAGAGTTTGGGGTATATCGATTTTTAAGATTTTGGGTTGACTCAGTGAGCAACCATCGAATTGGACTACTGTTTCCAGGTGAAGTTTGAGATTTGAAGAAAACGAATTTTATGTAAATGGAGTCTGCACAGTCACAGCAACAGAGAAGAGGAGGGATGGTTTCGTTATCGCCATCGCAGACGCCGCGGTCGAGCGAAAAGGCGGTTAGAGATCTGCGATCAGGGGAGGGGAATGTGAATGGGAAGCAAGAGAAAGATAAAGGCGTGAATGTCCAGGTCATTGTCCGGTGCAGGTGAGTTGAGTTAAGAATCTGAGTTTGGTTTGTGAGTGAGTGTATTGATTCTAATCACTGTGTCTGAGTTGCGATGGTTTGAATTTGTAGGCCATTGAATGAGGATGAAGTGAGATTGCATACACCAGTAGTTGTTTCATGTAATGAGAACAGAAGAGAAGTTTCTGCGATTCAGAATATAGCTAATAAGCAGATCGATAGAACATTTCTATTTGACAAGGTTTGACGTCTTTTTTCGAATTATTCTTATTCGTTCTTCGTTCTTCGTTCTTTGTTTGGTGGATGAGAAAAAGAAAAGTAAATTTCGTATTTTACAGTGGCCGAGAAATCCATCGCACAATACTTGAAATTCTTAATGGTTCTCCTGTGGTTTTCTTATAAATTATTGAGTAGTTGTGATGAAACCTCTAAGGTATCAATCATCACGGATTGTGCCTCTAGACTTAGAGTGTTTGATGTTTCTATTTTCATCTGTTCTATGTGACAAGAATGTAATGTTGGATAATTCTTTCTAGGTCTTTGGTCCGATGTCCCAACAAAAGGACTTGTATGAGCAGGCAGTGTCTCCCACTGTATTTGAAGTTCTCGAGGGCTATAACTGCACTATTTTTGCGTATGGGCAGACAGGAACAGGGAAAACATACACAATGGAGGGAGGAGGAAGAAAAAAGGTTCATTTTACTACAACATTGTACAACATATGATTCTGTGCTTTATACTAATTTCATGAAAATTGTTTTAATTGATTGATTTTTTCACCATATGCAGAACGGAGAGTTTCCGAATGATGCGGGTGTTATTCCTAGAGCTGTTCGTCAAATATTTGATATATTAGAAGCTCAAAACGCCGAATATAGCATGAAAGTTACGTTTCTAGAGCTTTACAATGAAGAAATATCAGATCTTTTGGCTATAGAGGAATGCTCAAAATTCACAGATGACAAATCAAAGAAGCCAATAGCACTTATGGAGGATGGAAGGGGAGGTGTTTTTGTTAGAGGCTTGGAAGAGGAAATAGTATGCACAGCCAATGAAATTTATAAGATTTTGGAGAAAGGTTCTGCTAAAAGGCGTACAGCAGAGACCCTTCTCAACAAACAAAGCAGCCGTTCCCACTCGATATTTTCTATAACAATTCACATTAAGGAGTGTACTCCAGAGGGGGAGGAAATGATTAAATGTGGGAAGCTCAATCTTGTTGATCTAGCTGGCTCAGAGAATATCTCGCGCTCGGGTGCAAGAGAGGTTAGAAGTGATAGACAATGTTATATCTTAAAGTTTGATATTGTAATGATGCATAACAAAAGGGCATCTTTGCTGACGTTCAAAATAGTAAGCACATGTATAGAGTGACACTTTTTATGGAGTACTGTGATTAATAGTACAGATCCCATAAAGGATCTTCTCCAATCTTCAGCTTCATGAGTCTGCTGGTCCTCAGAAAGTAAGAAATGGCATTAGACAGTATAATATTAATAAGAAGATTTGTTTTGCAGGGTAGGGCAAGGGAAGCTGGTGAGATCAATAAAAGCTTGCTTACACTTGGTCGTGTCATAAATGCACTAGTTGAGCACTCTGGGCATGTACCATATAGGTATGATTCTAATTAGTTCAGTAAATGCAGTTGGCATCTGGGAGATTTGTCCAAACATAACAGGTCTGACAATTGCTTAACAAGTATTTCTTGGTTTGTCAGGGATAGTAAATTAACAAGATTGCTGAGAGATTCCTTGGGAGGGAAAACAAAAACCTGCATTATCGCCACGATATCACCCTCTGTTCATTGTTTGGAAGAGACGCTCAGCACGTTAGATTATGCGCACCGTGCCAAAAATATTAAGAACAAACCAGAGGTCAGTTATGGGGTCCTTGGTTTGAGCTCAACCTTGTTCTTCCAGGGTTTCTATTCCTTTTTGTATTCTGTGAAAAATGAACCTGCTATCATAGTTTCATTTGATTACTATTTCAGATTAATCAGAAGATGATGAAATCTGCAATGATCAAGGATTTGTATTCTGAAATCGACCGACTTAAACAAGGTTGTTACTTGTTTCTTGCTTGGATGCTCTCTGTATCTCTCTATCATGTACTTACAGATTTATGCTTGTTCAACAAAGTATCTAATGGAATAATAAGTTGGGTATGCATGCTTTATTGACCATGCTTTATATACTTCTCCTACATCTCCAACCAGAGGTGTATGCTGCCAGAGAGAAAAATGGAATCTACATACCAAGAGATCGTTATCTACTGGAAGAAGCTGAGAAGAAGGTTTAGTTCTGCCATTTTAGGTTGATAATGGACTACATTTACTTTTAAGTGTCCTGTAATTGGGAGGTTTGTTGATTCTTCTGTTTGTCGCTTTTTCAGGCAATGACAGAAAAAATAGAGCGCATGGAACTTGATTTTGAATCCAGGGACAAGGTATATTTGAGGTTTAAAATTTTGGTTGATTATTACAGCTGAAAAGTTTGATTGATTATTACATTCTGCCTTGGAAGCAGCAACTAATGGAGCTTCGGGAACTTTACAACTCTCAGCTGCTATTAACTTCAGAATTAAGTGATAAGCATGAAAAGTCTGAGGTATTATACTATATAGTATCTTAGTGTTGATATTTCTGACTTTATGTTGAGCTATGCTTGTCATCAGCTTCTTTAATCATGCAATTGTAATACTCTTACTATTGGTTCACAGAAAAAGCTCCACGAAACAGAACATGCATTGGCTGATCTTGAAGAAAGACATAGGGAGGCAAATGCAAGAATTAAAGAAAAGGAGTATCTTATATCCAATCTTCTTAAGTCTGGTGAGCTAAGTATCCTGTGTACATTGTTGTTACTTCATGCATTTGTAGATTCTGCATACAGTGCAACTCTTGGGGTATTCATGTCATATATTATTGTACTAGGAGGGATTTTATGGCTGTATTTTTTTCTTGGGAGTTTCCATTGTAGGGGATTTACTTCTTACCAGATTTTCCTGGGATATTCGTTTCTTACCAGATGTATGTCGTTTCTGTTTGTCAAAAAAATTAGAACATTCAAGCGATCATCAAAAAAATTTCAACGTGTATTGATGAGTGCTACTGAAAGAGTGATGTCTGATAGAGAAATTTGTGTTGTGAATTTCTCCATCTGGTTTATATTGGTTGACTTCATTGTTCTTAATTTCGGGTATTGTTCACCTTAGCTTTCTCAAAGGCCCAAAAAAGCATTAGCTTTCTGACGTTGGCATCTAATTTTTTTTATCAGAGAAAGCACTCATGGAGAATACGTTTGAGCTTCGAGCAGAGCTAGAGAATGCTGTGTCAGATGTGGCTAGCTTGTTCACCAAGATTGGTTGGTATCTGGTTTTTGATGATTGATTTCCTATCCCAGAAATTGTCTGCTCGAAAAATAAATAATGTCTTATCAATGGATTGATCGTCGCAGAGCGCAAGGACAAAATAGAAGATGGAAACAGAATTCTTATACAGAAATTCCAGTTGCAATTATCTCAACAGCTTGAAATCTTGCACAAAACTGTAGCTGCTTCTGTCACTCAACAAGAGCAGCAACTGAAAGGCATGGAGGAAGATATGCAATCCTTTGTATCCACGAAAACAGAGGTATAATTTGGATAAAAACTAGGCTTGTGTATGCTTAGATTGTTACTTGACAAAATTTATCATCCGGTGTGCTTGTAGGCTACTGAAGAACTTCGAGGTCGCCTAGCTAAGTTGAAAATTATGTATGGTTCTGGTATCAAAGCTTTGGATAATCTAGCGGGGGAGCTTGATGAGAATTCTCAGTTAACTTTTGGGAATCTGAATTCTGAGGTTTCCAAACATTCGTCTGCTCTTGCCAATGTATGTACCTCTTGCTATAACTCTAACAAACTTCCCATTATTGGCTGTGTTTGACTGTGTTTATATAATGCAGCTTTTTAGAGGAATTGCTTCAGAGGCTGATGCATTGCTTAATGATCTTCAAAAGCGTCTGTATAGTCAGGAGGATAAACTAACTGAATATGCACAACAACAACGTGATGTAAGCATTTCCTCAATTTTACTTATGTTGGATAATGTGCTCCATCTTGTTTTGGCAGAATATAGACAAATTTTCTTATTTTGTTACGCAGGCGCATTCCAGAGCAGTAGCAAGCACACGATTAATTTCTCAAATTACTATAAAGTTCTTCAAGACTTTAGACATGCATGTGTCGAATTTGAGCCAAATTGTAGAAGCAGCACAAACAGTCAACGATCATAAATTATCTGAGCTTGAAAAGAAGTTTGAGGTGGTTAAAGTTCCTGTCTCAAACTTTCTTTTGGTTGAATTAGGATAAACACCTTACCTTTCCTGCTTTAATATCTCTCTCATTCACTCTCCCTGTATGTACATAATATTTATGTTTGAATCTGTAGGAATGTGCTGTCGATGAAGAAAGGCAGCTCTTAGAAAAAGTGGCAGAGCTGCTTGCAAGTTCAAATGCTAGGAAGAAAAAACTGGTATGAACCCACCACATAGTAATTCAAGAGGCATTTATTATTATTATTCTATGGAATACTGATCAGTTGATTGCCATCTTTTACTAGGAATTCCATTTATTGTTCTTGTGAACCCACTTAAGGAAAATTTTGAAAGTATGCTACAGAGTCCATTGTCAAACATACTTTATGGAAGTTTTTGATTCATACAGCAAAACAAATGTCACTGTCAGTAGTCAACAGTAGGAAGCAATTTTGATTAAGAGCACTTTGCTTTGTCAGACTGCGTCTCAATTTTACATCCTTGATCCAAATGGACAGATCTGCACAACAATCATCGTAACTCTTACGACACTACTGCAATCTGCTACTTTATATGTGTTGGTGTGAGGTCAGAAAAAGGAATCGGTTCTGTTGACCTCTGATTTTAGACGAGGCCAGATTTAACAACGTCTGAGTCCTTTTTAAATGTCAATACAGAAGAATTGGGAACATTCAATAAGTATTGTTTCTTATGTCACTCTGGTTTTGGACATCCCCTATTATTTTATTTTGTTTTGGTAATGAGCAAGCTTTATGCGTCATTTCTTAGAAGGCTTAGAGGCCTTTGGTTAGGCAACAGTTCCTGTATATTTTTCATGCCAAACCACTGCTATATCATGCGATCATAATTTTGATCCCGATGTAGCTTGACACCCATTCAACTTATGGTGCACCAAATGCTGTTTTATAATGGATGCAGATTTTTTTCATGGGTTGTTGATTCTCTACTTTGTTTGCAAATGTATGATGTGGTTTAGGTTCAAACAGCAGTTAATGGCCTGCGAGAGAGTGCAGCCAGCAGAACCAGCAGATTGCAGCAAGAGATGTCCACTATGCAAGATTCGACCATCTCTGTTAGAGCCGAATGGACTGGTTACATGGAAAAAGCTGAAACACACTATCTTGAAGATACAGCTGCAGTGGAAAGTGGGAAGAAAAATCTAGGAGAGGTTCTTCATAATTGGTATGGACAACTTGTCATGATGATTCTATATATTGACGTATTCCATTCTTGTGATGGGTTTTGAATAAATCTTGTGAGTTGTACTGTTTACTTTCTCTGCTGGTGTTTTTTGCCCCCAAACTCAACCTTAAATAAAAATACAGTTTACAAAAGGCAAAAATGGGTGCACAACAGTGGAGTAATGCTCAAGAATCCTTGCTCAGCCTAGAGAAAAGCAATGTCGCTGCCATAGATGAGATAGTAAGGTTAGTGACTTCTCACAAAAATATATTGCACGCAGCATTGATTTAATTATGATACATGTTTCTATTATGCATTTATCAAAAATTAACATATATTTAATAGGGGAGGGATGGATGCCAATCAAATCCTGCGTGCTCGGTTTTCTTCTGCTGTATCATCTGCAATTGAAGATGCAGACACAGGAAGCAAGAATCTCCTTTCCTCCATTGATCGTAAGTTTTAGTTTTGCAGCAATTCAAATATTTGACACTGCCAGTCAGTTTATCTGAGACTGAGAGAGCATAACTTGTCTAATTGCAACAAAACACCTGCAGATTCATTACAATTTGACCATGATGCATGTGCAAATGTTGATTCCATGATTGTTCCTTGCTGTGGAGAGTTGAGGGAACTGAAGAGTGGACACTACCACAAGATTGTGGAGATCACAGAAGATGCAGGAAAATGCCTCCTAGAGGAATACATGGTAAGAATTGTGAACTGTCAATGTGAACAATGTGCTTGTTTTTAAATACATCCCTCCTTCATTCAAAACTTCTGGAGTCATAAACAAGACACTTTTTGCTTTGGGGGGAGGGATACGGGGAAGGAAGAAGAGTGGGGGATAACACTTGACTGTCTCCAGTTTACTAAATATTCTTGTTCTTTCTGTTTTTGAATTCATAATTCAGTTTCAAACTTATGCCATCATGTGGACAGGTGGATCAACCATCATGCTCTACACCGAAGAAGAGGCCATTTAATCTGCCAAGCATTGCATCTATCGAAGAACTCAGAACCCCTGCTTTTGAGGATTTGTTGAGATCATTCTGGGAAGCAAAATCTTCAAAGCAAGCAAATGGAGATGTGAAACATGCAGGGGCTTATGAAGCTGCTGCACAATCCTTGAGAGATTCCAGACTTCCCTTAACCGCGATTAATTAAAGGTTCAGGATAAAACCAATAGAGTATATCATAGCAGTAAAATTGTATAGAGTATATATAATCTGGAGTGTGTACTCACCTTATTTATTCATTGTTTGTTCAGTGAATTGATGGTAGAAGCGCGGAAACTATAGTGGTTTTTTCTATTTCTTATTTGGCGGGGAAGTTTCAGCCCATTGAAATTTTCTCTGAATATGGCATCTGCAAAATGTTGGTTGAGTGTTTGTATTAAGTTCATAGTCTAATGTTTGTTGTTACATCTTTTGATCATCTTTGGAAAAGAGGTTTTGAAGGACCCATCTCATTCCTGATTCCTTAAGATTTCATGCCAGCACTTGAGAATTTTGATGCAAGTTTTGTCTCCCACCTTTCGTGTGGCAATTTTGAGCACACCCCACCCGAAAGTTTTTTTATGATCCCTCTCGGTTCACTAGGAGCTTAGATGTGTGTACATAAACTCTTGAGGAACCTTCTTTTACAAACCGGAGTTTACTTGTGTTTAGAGGTAAATCTACTCAAAGGTTCATATCAATTATCATTTTCTCGCTATGATTTGATTCTTGCTCATGTTTGGGTAAATAATATGAATGAACATCTTAGTTGAATAAATCCCAATTAAACAAAAGAGAGGAAAATGTCGACCCCAGTGAGAAACACCTTCTCCTTGCCATTCGATCCTCACTTCCGGGAGAATGAGTTCCTGCCAGAGAAGAATAGTGCTCAGTTATTTGCCACAACGGCAATTGAATGATGAAACCAACGGTAAATGCATTCAGTTATGTCCCCCCCAAAAAAAAAAAACCCCTTCGAGGGTGTTTGTTTGGGTGGATAAAGTGGGATAACACATGTTGGATTGGATAAAAATATTCGGGGACCCACAAAACCTAATTTTAGACCCTATTTAATGAATGAGATAAACCTTAGGCTCAATTCCTCGACCCATAGTCTTTTAGGCCCGTTATCACCACTGACCCAGATAAATGAATCCCACCCAAACTTTGGGATAAGTAAGCCCCATTGACAAGATTGAGCTACTAATTACATTAATGCCCTTATACAGTAAAATTTTTTCTCTATTCGTATGTGTGTGTGTATATATGTATATATCTTTTTTTTTTTCCTGATAAAAAAAAAAAAAACCAAGTACCACCAACAACAACAACCAAGCACCACCACCGCTCCACTCCTTTTCTATCTGCCTCTCCACTGCAACGCCACCGCGAACGGCACCACAAGCATCACCTGCGCTGTGTACAGCACACCACTCTAGGGTTTTTTATCCTCTCTTCCCCTTTTTCACTGTTCTCTCTCTCTCTCTCTCTCAACCTCTGTCTCCATCTATATATATGTAAGTTGAGAGATGTTTGGGGCATGTCGGGAATTAGAGAGAGAAAGAGAGAGAGGGAGAGAGAAAAAGAGAGATTTAGAAGTTAGAACCAATACCCAATTTAAAGCTAATCCTTCATCAGGAACTTGATTGAAGCTTTTATTACTTGTGGTTGATCGTCCATGCAGCTTTATTGGAATTTCTTCAGCTATGTATCGGAGAGCGAGAGAGGGAGAACTCGAGCTTGATTGCCTATTGAGGTCCCGAAAAATCACGTTGAATTAACTGTGTTATTTTTTGTCCATGGAGATCATGGATGTCTGTTGGTTAGCTAGACTTATGTTTGGTTTTTTTTTTTTTAAATGCACTTATATTTGGTTTCATAAATTATTATACCATACCAAAAAGATCTCTTATGAATCAAAATATAATGAGTGACAAACGTTAAGGACTATAGATGCAATTTATACTATATTTTAAAATATTTATAATTTTTTTATTATATGATCGATTTGATTAGTTCACCCAATAGTTGAACCAATGAACTATTGACCAGATCTTATAATAAAAAAAATATAATGAGTACGGTATTCTTATATATGTTAGACAATCTATGACGTTTTATGTTGGACAATATTATTGGATTAGCTTCACATCATTCTAACCCAAACTTAATATAAGATTGGATTACATTTATTTGCAAAAAAATGTAATGGTTATTTTAATATTTTTTATCTTCACATATTAGTGGCCCCTCACAAGAAATGGTGACCATCCAAAGGTGGGATATGATAGAATACTTCACATTAGGATTGCATTGACTTGGCTTGAATTCGGATTCAAATCCAATGCAAGCCAATCCACTCATGGTGATCCAAACACCCCTTAGTTGAGAGCTAAATATAGGGTGAAGAGGAGAGAATAACCATGGGGGATGCAGGAGGGTGATCAGTAAACATTATTCGGGCCTCAACAATTACAATGCCGCCCCTAAAATTAATTTACATAAACTGCGCACCTCAAATGTATATCACAGCCGGAATCAGCAGCCCGCCTGTACCATTAACGTATGTGGACTTCTAGGCCTGCAAATACATAGTGCTTGCTTCGTTGCAAATAAAGAAAAACAAATGCATAACATTTCTCTCTTGGTAACACGCTCTCAAAAAAAAATTGATGGGAGGAAGTAGAAACCATAGAACTCTATAAAAAATTTGCCAGTCTTCAAATACCATCACCTAATGTACAAAAATGGAAAGACTGAATTGCCACCTGAGGCGACCAAAACCGATAAATTGAACTTGGTTCAGATAAAAAGCACTAATGTGATGTATTATAACATCAAAAATATAACAGTTCTAAGCAATTAATTCACATTCAAAGCACTAACAAACACAGTAATGCAGGGAAGGCAATTGTCGGCACATATATACAGGAAACTGCCAAATGATAAGCTTGTGTTAGTGCTTAGAAGTTCAGGGGAGGTTCTCTGCCAAATGTTTCATCATCAAAATCTTCATTTGTGGAGTTTTCTTGACAAAGAAGTTCGGTCTCTTGCATGGGATTCAATCCAGGAGCAGCCCATACCGTTGCAGGACCCAGATGCGTTACACATTGTTGAGCACCATGACTGGCCTCAACATTGTCCTCTGCAAGATGCCTATCATCATCAGACACAAGCTCTTCTATCTTGTCATCATCCACAAAAGATTGCTCAGCATTGACTTCAGAACCCAAGTCAACCCCAGATTGTTTCCCAGACCCATGGTAGGCCACAGTCACCGTTCCCTGGTCAAATGGCTCACCAGCTTCTTTCTTTGGTCTCTTCCATTTTTTTGTGGACGAAGTCCCATCATCATCAAAATCTTCTTCTTCTCTGTCTCTATGTAAATAAACCCACAATTTCCTGTCTCCGTCAAACTGTACACAAGGATCACGTTCATAATGCAAACGATCCAAGGCTCCACTAACAACTTGATTGACTTGTGTATCAGAGACATCTTCCACGATAAATTGCGAGTCTCTTATCAGAATACAAACATCTGCCCTGGTTCCTATGCTTCCAGGCAACCTTGCAGCTGCATCTCTTACAATACAAAGAACTGTAACATGGGGAGGCCGATCTCGCTTCAACATAAAATGATCTCGGGCTTTAGATGTCGGCTTACCACCACACCTTCTCAAGGGAGCAACAATGGCTTTTCTACCGTCAATAGCTGTGTAGGAGAAGGCCCTGTCAGGAATTGAATACCTAAGAACTTCCTCCTTGCGGAAATAAGCTCTTAATTCTTCAGAGCTGGGGCTGATGGTGGTGAGACTCTTCTGAGCTCTCAGGTCCCTGAACCTTTCTTTCTCGTCCAAGTTACATTGCATCAACGTCAAAGGAGGAGCAGGAAGACTTCCGATTTGTTGAAGAGTCTCTTGACTACTTCTAAACCAATTAGCAAAAGCATCAACTAATTTCAGAAGCACTTTGTGAGGCAGACCCCAAGCTTCTGGAGATGTCACCTCCTCAACTGCCTCATGATCTGATGAATTAGAAGTAACTGGACCAATCCACGACCAACTTTTTGTAGACTTTTCATAGTAGGCAAGAACCTTCCACCCTTTTGCTCCTAAAGGTGCTGTTCTAGATGAAAGTATTTTCAGAACTCCTCTAACCAAATCCTGAAGTGGTTCTTGAGTTTCAAGAATACAAGGATCTCCAGGGTTTGATCTCACACGGTTGACAATTTCCTGAATGGTAAGAGAAGGGAGATTGACTAACCTAGAATGCTCTGAGTTACAGATGTCCAAGTTCTCATGAGGACAATTCCCATTGGAGACTTCCTGCTTTCTATCTTCCTCCCCGAGTTTCTGCCTTCCATCATTATTATCAAGATTGGCAACCTCTGAAGAATCCTCTGGAAGCAGAGTAATCATTGCCATGCGAACTGCCGAAAGAAGATGTATAATGGAGAATGAGAAGCCGGTGTGAACTGTAGGTGTAATCAAAGTAAATGGTTTTTTTTTAGGTTTGGTGTTGAGCTCTGCATCTTCTACTGCCATTTCTGTGACAGGTGGCTCCAAAGCTCTGTTTTCCGGAATACCAATGTCATCCTCCAGTTTCCTTTTTCCCCGTTTCTTTGAAGAGGTTATATCATCAACTTCAGGATGCTGATGAGGGGTAGAGTGCAGGAGATCATTGTCACCTTGCTCATCCATGTATGTCACATCGTCCTTCAGTTTTCGCTTCTTTGTCACAGATTTGCTTCCTAATACCTGCGCATCAGATCTTTCATGACTATCATCCACAAATGCTTCAAGAAATCTACCTTTCTTCCCAAACCTACCACTAACACGAGCCAATTGGCGTGCTCTGAGAGTATCAACATGCTCATCAACAATGTAATCATGGTGATGGTTTGACTGAGGTGCAGAACAGTCATGCTCCACTTCCCTGTTCTGTGTTCTCTCTGCAAGGTACTTTTTCTGTGAGGAAATGTAAAACCTCCCGCTGTCTTCTCCCTGCAACTCGCCATTTCTCCCAATGTTGTAAATTTTCTTCTGATTGTCATCACCATTTAACCTACCTGATCCCAAGAAATAGTTGTCTTCCAGACCTTCGGCAGTGGAATTACTCAAGTGACCAACATCACACATCTTGCCCTTCTGCTTTGCTTTCAAAGAGTAGTTTTCTACTGCTGCCAGATGCGAAGATTCACCAAAATCACCAATACTTCTGGAGGAGTGCAATAATCCATCAGGAGCCCAAGGACTGTCCTTTTTATATTTCTTAGCAAATTTGGCCTTCTTAGAATCTGGAGCAGCTTTAATTGCTGAGGCATCACCAGGGTAAGCCAACTTGCTCCTCATTAAGGGATTGTCATCCACATCTTCATCAATTTGCTCTGATGAGTCTGACTCTGTTTCCTCACTTTTAACAAAAGTTCTGAAACATTTGGTCCGTAACTTGTCTCTACCTCTGTTCCGCATAGAAATTGCTCTGACGCTATCCTGCAATGGCTTTGCCCTATACTTGGACTGAAATACACTATCATTAACTTGAAGATCAGGAGACTCTCTTCCTATCTTCCACTTCTTGCTCCTACCATTCCAATCACCATATTGGGATAATGGATCAACAGAGAAAGGCTCTACTTGTGCTTTCTTACGCCAAAATGGTTCGGCTTGATCTGAAAACTCAATTTTACTTCCTTTCAGAGATAAATTTGGAGCCTTCTTTTTTGCAGATTTCATCTGATCTTCACCAGCAACTTGCTGAACAGCCACAGCGTACTTGACCCTTTTACCACTATCATCAACGATTCTCATGTTAGATGGATTTGTTGTTAACACCTTGATATCCGACAACTGATTCACAGTCCTCTTCCTACCATATGCATGCAAATCATTCTTTAGAGACATAGGCAGGCCCATGAATCTGTCCGTATATTCTTCATCTCCCAAATCTTCATGCTTCTTCCCCTTTCTCAAAGCTCCAACTTTATCAACTGCACTAACTCGTGAGAAATGCCGATCTCTCTCAACAGACACTTCATACATAGGTTCCTCTCCATCATCATAAACTCTCATCTGATTCCTCATCCGGACTGCCACCCCAGAATCATAACTTGCTGCCTTATTCTCTCTGGAAAGAGATAATACAGAACCATAGAGACCCGATTTTATCTCCGTACCACGGTGAAAAGAAGGAAAGCAGCCTGCCAATTCTTTCGCTGTGGACTTCTTTGATCCAGCCAACTTCAATGTTCCTTTTGGATTCTGCTTTCCATTCTTTGCTGGTCCCAGGGTAATCTGCCTCTCCTGAGCAGGAAATTCTAACGCTGGACTTGTCCCACCTCCTGATCCTGAATAACGATGCAATTTCTGCCCTAGCTTCCGATTCTTCAGCCTTTTGATCCACAATCCATCTCCTGACTCTTCGCTTTCACAAGAGTCACTCTCCAACTGTTCCATATTCTCATACAGTAAACTCTTCTGACTTTTCATTATGTTCAACACCCGAAGCTTCTCCTGGATGCTGTACCCCCTACAGTTAAGCCAAGCATCCTTTATTTGGTAAACATTAGAGATCATAGAGTTCTGATGCTTCCACAAATGATGATAATGCTGTCTCTTCTGAAAAAAATTCAAACCTTGCCGATAAAGGGCAACCCTCGGTTCACATAAACCTCCCTTCAACATGTCAAATAACTTATTGACGGGACTCCCAAAATGAAGATCATCACCAGTAAAAAGCTCTTTCAATGTCCGCATAAATGTCACTTGGTCCAAATCCGGAAGGAACTTTGCAAGATTAAATCTTTCTTCCTCAGTCAAAATGTCATTCCAAACATCCATTGACAACACATCATTCAAGTCCGGAAGATCATACAATTCAAATGGAATGCTACAAGTTTGACCCCCAACCTGGCAAAATTCCTCTCCAGTTTGCCCTAATTCCAACAAATCAAAATCATCCGATCCGGCCCCAGAGTCACAGTCGTCAAACTCATAATCATCATCACCCGATTCAATAGCCGAACTTCGCCTCTGAAACTCCTCGTCCTCACTCGACATACTCTCCCTACTACGAGGAGAAAACTCAGAATCCAATCTCGAAAGCTTAAAGATAGTCTTTTCAATCGCCATCCAACACAACCCACACAAAATCAACGAAGCATAATGTCCCCCAAAAATACACCTTCACCTAACAAATTTCCGATGAAAACCCCTAGAAAAAAAATACCAAGGATACAAACACTAAATACTCATTCGGAACAATGCAACATACAAATAGAACCAAACATAAAAAGGAGATTCGAATCAACTAAAGAATATTACATTTATACACACACATAAATGTGTATATAAATTGCGAATGAATTGTAAAATACCTCAATCTCGTCGAGTAATATTGAAGTTCGAGGAAAGAGCTGAAATTCGAGCGGTGATGGAGGAGAGAGAAACCAAATGCAAAGACATAGGTGATCCACTCTCTTGTATATTAGTATGAAACTCTGGAAACCCTAGAGAGAAGAAGAGGAGTCGGTTAGCTTATAAATAGAAGGTAACAGGGTAAGTACGAAGAAGCCGAGCATGAGGAGGGTTCTGGGCTGTTCGATGAGGATGCGTTTGAAAAAGACGAAAAAGGGCATGAAAGAGAGCGATAGGGAGGCGTGTTTTGCAGAGGTGTAGAGGGAGAAAGAGGGAAGAGAGAGAGAGAAAAGGGTTTGTTCTTGTTGATGTTGGACTGTGGCCCTGTAGGTGGTGACTCGTCGACCGAGTCGAAACTCAGGTTGCAAGGAAGAAGAGTTGAGTGGGCCATGTTTTGCGTTTTGATTTTCACAATCTCGCGGCCGTTAGATCTGGGACTGTGATCTATAGGCTGGGTAGTTCTTCTAGAATGTAATTTTACTGACGGTTAATTATACTAATGGTCCTTAAAGTTTATAATTTATTAAACTCTCGCCCCTAAAGTCTCAATTTAGTCAATTTAATCCTCAAAATTTGAGTTTTTAACCAAAATTGTCCTTCTCCCTAACTGCCGTCCAAATCTCTGACGAAAAACAACATGTGCACAACACGTATAGCAGACAGAAGGGCATCACTGTCTTTTTCCCTTATTTTCCCGCTCATCCAATTACCTTTAGGTCACGTGCGATGTACACTGTGAAACATCAAATTATCACTTCAGACGAATGAAGAGAGATCATTCGTCATTTGTCTAGAGTTCTAAATGAAATTGGAGAAATTGGGTTTTGTAGCACTGAAGTACATCGTCGTCTTCAAATAATTGAAGGTTGACAACGATGACTGGAAGGTTCAATGAGTATCAATTAGAGAACAATTGTTTTATTGAAGATTACGATAAATATTTAGTGTTTTCAATTTGGGTAGAAGATGACGTTTTGGATATTTTTTTTTTTTAAAAAAATCATATTATGACAACTGATTGCATGCAAAGAACTATGGATTTGAGTTTGTTTCAAAAAGTTGTTACATGCATGGCCCTAAAAAAGAATTAATATAAAACTGACGTTGATGTTATGTTGGTGTAGTGGGTTCTTTATGCACTTATATAAAACTCAGTAACACGTGATCTCCCATTTTTTTGTTTCGTGTTGCAAAGAAAGATTCCAAATATTTTATTTTAATATTGCACCATAATGGCTCAAATTGCACCATAAAAGATTCTATATTTTATGTACTGGCTGATGATAGTAACATCCTTTTGGAAGTGAACATGTTGAATGTAATATGTTTTTTTTTTATCACTGAATAGGTTGTGTCCTCAATGCGATAAGATACGTTTTTTACATTAACAAAGTACAAAACTAGAATCTTAGCAACTACAACACTCATAACCAGCAACTTCATTTTATGATGGCATCTGACCAAGTAAGTAAAAGCAAGTGCAAGGAACAACATCCAAGTGAGAACAAGCAAGCGAGTACAGCAGCTTCATTTTGTTAACATCCATAACCAAGTAAGTACAAGCAACAATCACACAACTTGCTCTCTACTTTGAGATTTGGTTAGCTTCCCTTCTAATAGTGTGATTTTTTTGAGTAATCCCGGTATGATATTCTTCGATAGCATACACATAGGAGGATCATGCCACACAAAATACCCACTTTCGCCATTTCGTTGCATATTCCAAAAAAAAAAAAGGTTAAACAAAGATTGTTGTTAACTTTCATAAAATACAATTTCAAAAAATTTACCTCATTTCTCTTACATCCAAGGAATCTTCTTTCTGGATTTAAATCTGTCCAAGACGTTAACATTCAAGTCTTTCTCCCACACTTGCAGTACTTCTAATCCATATGGACTTTGGGATAAAACTTCGCTTTGTTATGTGATGAAGCTTGGCTTGGTTTGCAACTTGTCTTCGTTCTGTGATGAAGCTTGCCTTGGTTCACCCCATTGAAAGTTACGTTTATCAGACATATATTAGGGTTCCTCAATCAGATATATAATGGAAGAGAAAGATGGTTGGATGGGCGGGAAAATAAAGGGAAAAGATAGTGATGCCCTTCTGTCTTCTACACGTGTTGTTTTTTGTCAGAGATTTGGACAGCAGTGAGGGAGAAGGACAACTTTGGTTCAAAATCCAAATTTTGAGGACTAAATTGACTAAATTGGGACTTTAGGGATTGGGATGGTAGTGGACCGGTGAAAAATGGGTATTCGTTCAACACATGCCCCGTTTTGACTGGGAATGAATCATATGTATTGGACGATGAACGTATACGAGAATACCTGTATAAACTCGTACGGAGATGAACTTACCCTTACCCCCACCCCGCTCTGTCCTTGATACCCGTTACATGTTTCATTGTATTTTTTTCTTCTTGATAGATAAATGACTTGTGCCAAAGGGGTACAAAAAAGTGTTAATAAAAAGAAATAGAAGCTTACTTAAGCCCAATTAAATTATCCTCTAGCTGCGTCAAACACACCTTAGCTTTTTGTATGTGACAACATGTTATGGACTGCATCCATTTTGGTCAAGATTGCTGCAGGTTGTTCAAGTGCTTTAATGGAGTAGTAGACTCATTTGTCTAGTTGACAGCAATGCATGGTTCTGGCATCATTTTATTGTGATCATTTGATTATCCTTTTCATGTTATGTTCACACAGTAATCACATTTTCTGTCTATAGTAAAGACTGGAAAGGGCATGGTTTTTTATTGCTTAATCAATGACACCATAGAGTGATGCAAGTTTGAGTTCCATCCTTATGTCTCATTCTTGTCTAGTCTAGAGATCCACTGTTTTCTTACACTCATTTCTCAATACTGGCTATTGTGTGCTATGTTACAATATAGTTAACAATGATACACCGTTTGCATGGGGACCTTGTATACGTTACCTCTTCTTTTTATCCTTGAGATTGTATAAGTTTTTTCCTCTCATCTCTTATTTAACATGGAATTGCCCCCAACTTATAAAAGAGGTTCTTTAACTTGAGTGGAAGAGATCTGTCGAAAATATTTCACCTTGATTTATCTTGAGTGGAAGAGCTTGGACTTGGGTTTGGGCGGGTATGGGGAAAGCGGAAATATGGACGAGGATTAGAAATTTACTCGCAGATGGAGATAAGGATAAAAACTATACCTGTTAATGGGGGAGGACCGAGGATGGAGACTACACCTCCCGCCCTTGATTCAGTCTACTGACATCCCTATTTAGGATGAAAGTTTAATAAGTTGTAAACTTTAGAGACCATTAGTGCAATTAACCTTTTTACTAAATTATCCATGATAAATTTTGGGAAAAATTTCATCCACACTCATTCTAAATAGGTATATCTTCAATGAGATCTCTCTATTTTTTAAATTTTTGTACATATTAAAATTCAAGTTGATTAAAATTTGATTCGACCTAATTAAAATTTATTTTTTATATTAAAATTTAAGTTGATTAAAAATTATATTTTTTTACGTATTAAAGTATAAAATTTAATTGACTCAAATTTTAATAAGTAAAAATAAATTCTAATCAAATTGAATCATATTTAAATAAATAAAAAAGTATAAATTTTAATCAGTTCTAAACAAATTTTAATCGGAGCTAATAGCTTAAATAAAGTTTAAATTGACTCGAATTTCAATACGTAAAAGACTTTTAATAGACTCAAATTTTAATATGTAAAAAAGAAAAAATTTAATCAGCTCAAATGAAATTTTAATTGACTCAAATTCTAATATATAGAAAAAATAATTTTAGTAAATTCGAATTTTCATATGTAGAAAAATAAATTTTAATCGGCTCAAATTTTAATCAAATTTTATGTAAAAAGATTGGTAAGAGTTTATGTAGGGGTAGTTTTGGTATTTTAGATAAATAATTTTTATTATAAATGATAGTTTAATGACGGAGGTGTTAATGATGTTTAAATATAAATTATAGTTAATTATACTAGAGGTCCCCAAAGTATGAGATTTGTCTAATTTTGATCTCCAATGTTTCAATTGCATCATTTTGATTCTTAAAATATTGAATATGTTTATATATGGTCCTTCAAGTAGACAACGTCCATATTGCTAGCAATTTTTTATCATAAACTTGTCCCGTAATAGCTAAATATGGAGAAAAAATAATTTTGATAGCTTTTAAATAAAATTTGGGTAGCTCTTGACAAAAAAAATGTGTAATATGGATAGTTTTTGACCAAAATTTGGATAACTCATGATTAAAATTGTGTAATTTAGGTAAGTATTTAATCAAAATTTGTGTAGAAATTTGGTCAAGAGTTATCCAAATTATTTTTTGTCCACATTTAAGTATCATGTAGACGGTGTCTGCTTGAGAGACCATATAGAAACTTATTCAATACTTTAGGTATCAAAATGATGCAATTGAAATATTGGGAACCAAAATAAGACAAACTTCATAATGTGGGGACCTTCCATGCAATTAACCATATAAATTAAAAGGCTTGTCAATAATTTTTTTGATAATAGAAGGGATGTATTCAAAAATATGATAAATTAGAGGGAGTGTGATTGAAATTTTTTCTATTTTTTAATATTAAAAATTAAATATTAATTACGTATGGTCTAACCATATCCGGCACTTCTTCTATTGGCGTAACTCACCCGCCCCGTACGTAGAATGACAATGCGAATTCCTTTCCTCTCCAAAACTCAGGGACGGGCCAGAAATTAGTTTAAGGGTAGATATTTTAATTTGACCTGACTCTATAGCATGAAATGACTACAGACTTTAAACTTCCATAAAGACAGGGGTGGCCTGAGGCTATTTTAGGCTCAAGCAACAATTAAAAGTGAGGTATTTTATTTTTAATATTAATAATTTTTATTTAAAATATATATATTTTTTATTTTTTTGAGATTAAAAGTACTATTAATTTTTATGTTTAATAAGTTTCACTACCATATTTTTTTATATTAATAATATCACTAATCCCCTAATTTTTTTGTAATAGTCGATCTTAAAGAATGTTTTATTAATTTTAATTTTAAAAAAAATTCTTTTTATTTTAAACAATCATAGTCTACTATTTTAATTTTTTAAATTTAACAAAAATCAAAAACTTTTATAAAATTCAAAAAAATTGGTAAAATCAAAATTTTAAGTTTTTTATTTATGATACATGGGAGAGAGAGAGAGAGTTGATGAGTTAAGCCCAAATAGTCCAATTTATGTGTTAAAGTCCAACCCTAGTTGAGGAGCCCAACCTTATTTTGAATCCACCAAGTTCAAGACGGTTCAAGACCGGTTAGACTTTTTGCTTAGCACGTCATCAAGAGGAGAGCATGAGAAGCTTATCTGCACCACCGAAGGAAACAGTCC